ACACATTTGCCACAGCAGATAATTATTCCGTATTATACTATACAACAATTCTTACTCTCGTGAACAGTTTAAAAACCGTAGCGGCTCTTTGGCCACAAAAATTATAAGCACTATTAAGTCTTTTCTAAGATTGTCACCAGAAAAATAGGAGCTAGATAACGGCCTTATTTTATTGTTTGCAAAATAAAGCTTACTTATCAAAGACGTTTGGTAAGACCGCTACGAACCCTGACACAGACGACGTATGAGTATATATGTATGTGTATATATATTATATATATACGTAGTTACGTAAGCAGACAAGGTTACACAAAGGTCAACGTTCTGCACGCGATTCGCCGTTTCTTTAAATGTAGCGGGGCCCGCAGTTAAAAACACTGACAGGTTTTCCGGTAGTTTCTACGTTGTCGATAAGATGATTTTGGCCTCATCGGAATAAATCTTGGCCAAGATTTTAGTATTTTAGGTTACTATACCGAATAATTCGCTCAATAGTAATTAGCATGAATAAGTAATGTTTTCTACTTGAGTAATACTGAATGCTCCCACGACAATACACATCTTCGTTGCGCACGCGATATACCAAGTATTCGTTCAGTAGAAGTAATTTTCGATCAAATATATAAATGTTCCAATGACATTGAACGTATGTCTTAATAACATGAATCGCCTCTCAACGAACCCACAAGTCACCCAAACGACTCAAGTCCTACGCGCGCATAAAGCTACGACCGACCGACTGCGCCGACCTTCTCACTCACCGATCTTCTTCTGTGCATCCTTGAATGGCTTCTCCACGGCCTGCAGCTTGTTCTTGACGTCTGCCTTGGAGGAGGTGTCTGTGAGCAGCGCGCTCAGCTGGTCCGCACTGTTCTGCGCGTTGCCCAGTAGGTGGCGCTGAGAGTCGAGCTCCTCATCAAGGTCCTGCAAACGGACAACATATATCTGATTATATATTTGTGTGTATATATATATATGATACTGTACGTATATAATTAAATATTCATACATGTACTGTGATGTGTGTGTTGTGTGTGTTTTTAGTGTTGTGTGTGTATAGGCCGTGTGTGTTGTGTTATCTGATGGGTTACATATATAAATATATATACATATACAAAGACATATATACAGATAGATATATATATATTTGGTTATCTATCTTGATATATACGAATATATTTGCATCAAAACCATCATCGTCAATGAGATCATCAGATCAAGAGACTTTTCACCACCTAGTATTTTTCAACGTTAAAGTTCACGTCGCTAAAGTCCACCGAACGATTTCTGCCGCAACGAAAAAAAAGCAAAACGCTCAAAAAACGCCGCCAGCACCTAACGCTAGCGCCACACCAGGCGTGCGCGCCGCCTCGCCTGGCGTTCTGCTCGCCTGCACGCGCGGCCATTACCTGAGCATTGCGAGCTGCTGGGCGAGCGTGTCGTCCGTCGCCTTTGCTTCCTCCTCCAGCCGCCACCTCAACCGCGTTCAGCAGTCGTGCAGCGCCGACGCTCTCGCTGGAACGTCCGTGCTGCCACGACGCGCATGCGCCGCAGCTGCTCTCGCTCGTCGAGCCGGCCCTTGACGTCGTCCAGTGCTGGCTTGAGTGCGCGCGCCAGTCTGAAGCATCCCACGGGATCAGTAACCATGACTACGTCATCCCATGCACGCATCTCTCCCACCAGGATCAGAAAAACCCAATACAACAATTGCGACGTGCAGGGCCAAAGCCACACGTTTGTCTATAGCTGTGTGCGCGTCTATAGCTATATAGTGTGCATTGGATGCTACTACATGTAACATTTACTATGGCATACACACATACGTAATATGGTGCATCGGATATCATCCTGCTGTCCTGCACACGCAAGCCGTAGGACTAGAAAAAACTGGAAGAGATCAGCATTTTGTTATCGCACTGTTCTCACTACACGATCACAAACACTGGCGCACGACCACCACGCATAACCTGTGGCTTAGACTGGACCACGTAGCAGACGGGGACACGCGGCACATCGCTATAATTCGTAAGCGCGCGCAGTTACCTGGTCATGCGAGAGGAGGCCTCGCGGACGGCGGCCTGCAGCTTGTTCTGCACTGTCTCTCCTGACTCGTTCAGCTGCCTGCACCAGCTGCTGATCCCAGTCCTTGAAGTCGTCCTGGAGAACCTATAGTAACACAAGCACGCGCATGTCAAGGCCCCTTATCAGACACACCATTTACATTCTCTTAACATTAAAGCTAGGTGTCTACTCTTGGCCCAAAATCTGAAAAATCATAAAAAAACCTTTAAATTTTTTAATACTGACTGCGCTTTTGTTGACATTTAGAATGCTAAGGAAAAAGGAAATCTTGAACTTTTTTCATAAGACCAGACATATCCACTAGGGTACAGAAGATAACGTAATCTACGTTAAATCTTTAGCCTCGATCGTTTCTGTAAATGGTCTACGAGCGGTGAACAAAGCAAGCCCGGGTGACCACTTGAGCATCTCGTGTGTATCGTCACGCGTGTCACGTCAGGGCTCACATGTCATGCATCCACAGGTACTTCGCGCCGCTGATCATGGCGTTGCCACGCCGCTGCGTGTGTCAAGGTCCACTTGCGCACGTTGTCATGTGCACGCGCCGCGTGCTGTCACATGTCCTCGCGCACGTGTATGGTGCCAGCGCCGCCGCGTGTGGAACAGTCACGCGCGCACGCTGTCAACGGTCACGGTCACGCGTATTAGCGCACGTGGTCTCTCGGGTTGTGAGGTCGCACGCAACGGGCACGCGCGGATGCCCCGGCCCACGCGGTAACGCACCGAGTCCGCCCATGAGAGGCCCCATAGCAACGCGAGCATGCGGTGATTCCTGAGTTCCTTGACTGCTGCTGTCTGGTTTGTTGAAGCATGCCCGGGTTCGGTGGCGATCGTCGGAGCACGCTCATCACGCTGTGTCCTTCTGTGTCACACGCCTGCCGCCCCGTCATGGTGCTGCTGGACGCTTCAGCGCCTCGGAGATCGCACACGCCTCCTCGCAGGCAGCAACGCAGCTCCTGCCACTTCTCATCTGCAAGAGAAAATACATATCGTCTCAAGGTGTGCCTGCGACCTGCGACAACCCGAGAGGACTACTGTGTGCGTAGACGTCTGTGACCGTGACCCGTGCACACGTCGGCGCCGGTGACCTGTGAACACACGCGGCGCGTGGCACCATGACACCTGTGCCGGCGAGTGACTCTTCTGCTTGACACACGCGGCGGCGCTGGCACCCATACACAGCTGCGCAAGTGGACCTGTGTCACACGCAGCGCGGCTGGCACCCATGACACGGTGCGCGAGTTGCACCTGTGATTTTTGCCATGCACATGTGACCCCTGACACACTGCGTGACATACAACACGAGATGCTCAAAGTGTCACCGGCGCTTGCTCCTGTTCACGTCGTAGACCATTTACAGAACGATCCGATGCTAAGATTTACTAGATTACGTTTTTCTTCTTGCTACCAGTTGTATATGTCTGGGTCTATTGAAAAAAGTTCAAGATTTCTTTGTCTTACATTCTAAATGTCAAAATAACAGTCTAGTATTAAAAAAAATTTAAAGGTTTTTTTTTGATTTTTCAAGATTTTGCCAAAGAGTAAAAGACACCTGCCTTTTTATGTTAGAAGAATGTAAATGGTCGTGTCTGATGAAGGCGGCCTGACATGCGCCGTGCTTGTGTTACTTTATAGGTGCTCCAGGACGACTTCAGTAGGACTGGGATGCAAGCTGCAGCATCTGAACGAGTCAGGAGCGACAGTGCTTAGACAAGCTGCAGGCCGGCGTCCGAGGCCCTCCGCATTCGCCAGACCAGTGCGTTAGACTGCCGCCCTACTCGAATTATAGCGATGTTGCCGGTTGAAACCTGTCTGCTACGTGGTCCCGTCCTAAGCACGAGTTAGGGGTGTATGCTGGGTGTGGTGCGTGCCGGCTCCACCCAGTGGTTATCTTATTGTGATCGTAGTAGTGAGAACGCTCCTAGTGCGATCAACAAAATGGCCTGATCCTCTTACAGTGTTTCTTCGTCCTACGCTTGTGCGCGTGCCAGGACAGCAGGATGATATCATCATATTACGTTATGTGTGTATGCCATAGCTAAATGTTACATGTTAGTAGGGCGCATACCAATGCACACTTATATAGCTATAGACTCCACACAGCGATAGCACGTCCAATTAAAACGTGTGCTTTGCCCTTGCACGTCGCAATGTTGTATGTTTGGTTTTTTCCTGATCCGGTGGAGAGATGCCAATTGCTGGATTGACGTAGTCATGGTACTTGATCCCGTGGGATTGCTTCCAGATGGCCCCATCAACCAGCACTTGGACGACGTTCAGGCCGTGCCGACGAGCGAACGGCTGCTCGATTGGCGGCCCTCGTGGCAGCACGACTTCCACGAGAGGCTGTCGGCCGCTGCCGACTGGCTGAACGCGGTGAGGTGCGCTGGAGGCAGGAGGAGGCGACGGATGACACGCCCCAGCAGTCTCGCAATCTCAGGTAATTGGCCGCGTGCAGTCGCGAGCAACGCAGGCGGAGGCTGGCGGCCACGCTGAACGTGTGCGCTACGTTCAGTGTCTGCGGCAGTTTTTTTTTGACGTTTTGCTTTTTTTTCGTTTGCCGGCAGAAATCGTTCGTGGACTTAGCGACGTAACTTTAACGTTGAAGATACATTGTGGCGTCCCAGGCAGCCCTAGGAACTTTGAAAGTCTCTGATGATCTCATTGACGATGCATGGTGGTTGATCAAATATATTCGTACTTATCAAGCATGAGATAACCAAAATAATATATATATATTATATATGGTCTATGCTATATATATATATATTTACTTATATTACAGTACTGTGTTTATAGGCCTATCTATATATATGTGGCCAGTACATGTATATCATTTATTATATTATACATTGTAATGTTATATATATATATACACACACACCAATCTATATTCGATATATGTTGTCCGTTTGCAGGACTTTGTAGGAGCTCGACTGCTCAGCGGCCACCTATCTGGGCAACGCGCACGACAGTGCGCACCAGCTGAGCCTGCATTCTCAACAGGACCTCCTCCAAGGCAGACGTCTAAGAACAAGTGCGGCCGCTGCGAAGAAGCCATTCAAGGATTGCACAGAGAGATTCTGTCTCTCCCCCGAGTGAGAGGTCGGGCGCAGGCGGTCTCGTAGCCTTTTATGCGCGGCGTACGGACTTTGATTTCGTTTGGGTGACTTGTGGTTCGTGAGAGGCTCTTCATTTATTAAGACATACGTTCAATGTCCATTGCGAACACTTTACATTATCTTTGACTGAAATTATACTTCTACTGAAAGAATCTTGGTATATCGCGTGCGCAACGAAGATGTGTCATGCTTTGGGAGCAGTCAGTATACTCAAGTAGAAAACATTACTTATTCATACCAATTACTATTGACGCGAATATTTGGTATAGTAAACATAAAATACTAAAATCTTGGCCAAGATTTATTCCGATGAGGCCAAAAATATCTTATTCCGACAACGAGTAAACTAACCGGAAACCTGTAATGTTTTACTCGCCTCTAAATCTTAAAAAGAAAACGAATCGCCCTGCAGAACGTTGACCTTTGTGTTACCTGTCGCTTACGTAACACGATAGTAGTAGTATAATATTACACATAATATATATCATACTCGCTCTGTGTCAGGTTCCGCTAGCGGTCTATCCAAGTCTTAAAGCTATTTATTTTGCCAAAAATAAATAGAGGGCCTTATTATACTTATTTTGGTGAAATCGTAGGCAAATAGTATCTTAATAGCTCTTTATTTTTTGCCAAAGACTAGGTTTTTATAAACTGTTCACGAGAGTAAGAATTGTTGTTAATATAATACGGAATAATTAAATCTGCTGTGCCAATTGCTGCTATATAAATATTTTAGCTGTACTTTATAGGTGGTGATCATCAGAAATC